AACAAATGACAACGGACATTTTCCCTCGGTACGAAGGGTGGTGTTGAGTAAACACCAGGGTGGTTGTTGGGGGAGGACTCACGGCGGTAGAGAGTGAATGGCCTCCATCGATACAGCCTAGGCTGTGACGACCTAAGAGCGCTCGCCGCGGATGCGGCGGGCCAGCTGGATGTCCTTGGGCATGATGGTCACGCGCTTGGCGTGGATCGCGCACAAGTTGGTGTCTTCGAACAGGCCCACAAGGTAGGCCTCGGCGGCCTCCTGCAGAGCGAGCACAGCGGATCCCTGGAAGCGGAGGTCGCTCTTGAAGTCCTGGGCGATCTCACGAACAAGGCGCTGGAAGGGGAGCTTGCGGATGAGCAGCTCGGTGGACTTCTGGTAGCGACGGATCTCGCGCAGGGCCACGGTGCCGGGCCTGTAGCGGTGGGGCTTCTTGACACCGCCGGTGGCCGGTGCGGACTTGCGGGCGGCCTTGGTGGCCAGCTGCTTGCGGGGGGCCTTGCCTCCGGTGGACTTACGGGCGGTCTGCTTCGTGCGAGCCATGGTGTTGAGAGAGAGGAGCGGGAAGGTGCAGAGGAGAGAGAGAGATGGGAATGAACGATGTGGGGGAGGGCATCGGGCAAGGAGAGAAGGAGAGCAAGGAGAGCTCACCACAACGCGGCGAGTTATGTAGCAAATTTGAAAAGTGCCGGTTCGTGACGCCATGTTTATCGAATCTGGAGCCATGATTGGCTCAAAAATGGAGATGGACTTTATTTGCATTTCGAAACGGAACACGTGGCTCTCTGTCGCTTCTTGCTCTCTCCTCTTCGTCCTCTGTCGTTTGGTTCTTCCATCTCCCACACACCCTTGTCACCCCCCTTGTCTCTCAACCCTCATCTTCTGTTCAGCACCAAGCAGCAGCTATGTCGACCGCCAAACCCACGTACAATGTGGTGAGTACCCTGCTGTATATGCATAGGTGGAGGCTGCGCTGCGCGTACCAACCGATTGGAGAGAGAAATCGTTGTACAGCAGCGCACGGGGGTTCGCCGAACACTCATTTCTCATGTCCGAATGTCCGAAGTCACAAGGGCGCTAGAAAGTAACCCACGGTGACACGATGAAACGATGCAGGGTCCTATCTTTCTGAAAGTGTTCACATGCCCAACGCTATGCAGTACGAATGTAGTCGTGTAGTCGTACCGATAATGCAAGCGACCGTTGGTGTGGGCGCGATTGAAGCGCACTCGTCGATCTGTTGCTGGGCACGGGCTCACGTGAAGGTGGTTTGAAGCAGGCCGTACGCATTGAAATAACTCTATTGAATAGGTAGATAGGGTGTTCCTTTGCTGATTCCTTACCCCCATATACCCTCTTGCGCTCCTCTCCTTGCACCACAGATGGTATTCGATGCCATCAAGACTCTCAAGGAGCGGAACGGATCCTCCATTCAGGCCATCAAGAAGAGCATCACCGCTACCTACCCTGCCCTCAACTTCACGCCGCACCAGATGCGCAGCGCCCTCAAGAAGGGAGTGGAGTCCGGCAAGTTCGTCAAGGTGAGGCATGACCGCCTTCTCGTCTGGCAGGGTCGCTGTTGCTTGAGCTTCCAACATTCGGTCTACTGCTGCTGTACGACCCCAGTGTTGCCCCGCCACTGGTTACCAAGCGTGCTACGCGTCTGTGTCAGAGAGTTTCTCTCGCGTATTCTTACCAGCTGATCCACCCTGGGGGGAATGCTGCACCCTTGGTATTACAGAAGAGTAGACTGCTGTACGACTGTAATGTACGACAAAAAGTCTACATACTACCTTCGTGTTTGAAGAAGGCCTTGGTTGTTCGAGTTACAATGTCGCCAAGAGATTTCTAACCACGTTCGGTCCTCGACAACGTAAATGATTTTTCATCGTCAAGCAGATGAAGGCCTCGTACAAGCTGAGCGCCGAGGCGAAGAAGCCCGCCCCGAAGAAGAAGGTCGTGAAAAAGGTGGTAAAGAAGGTCGTCAAGAAGAAGGTGCCGAAGAAGAAGGTGGCCAAGAAGCCCGCTGTGAAGAAGACCACGACGAAGAAGCCCGCCGCCAAGAAGGCCACCACCACCAAGAAGACCGTCACTAAGAAGAAGCCCGCTTCTAAGAAGACCACCGCCAAGAAGAAGCCCTCCACCCCCAAGAAGAAGGCTGCCCCCAAGAAGGCCTAGGCGTACAACCATCTCCCGTCTCCTCGAGTGAGCTGTCTTCCGTCTTGCTTCAACAAACCACCTGGTGTTTACTCAACACCACCCATCCGACCAAAGAAAACAGCACCGTTGTAAGTGCTCTGCTAACCAATAATGGGTTGGGTGTTTAGTTTGGTGCCTTAAGGCAGATACGGTTAACCTATGCGTTATGATAGCATCACGGTGCTAGCCGCGTTCGGAGTCGCTCCATGGACATTGTGGAGGTCTTCTGTGTTGCGGGTAAACAGAAACCCTACACAATTCCACTACCTTGACGGCTCGTATGTGCCAATTCACCGTCCGATGCCGGCATTGTTCGAAGTGAAGGCAATGTAGCGAGTATCATTGAAGACAATTTTGGGGGCAACGGTCCGTTAGTGCTGATTTGCAAACGTAGGAAGGATAAGCCGTCGAAACATTGCAGCAGTATCCAGTCGGCTTTCGAGGCTACCAGTATCTAGCTTTTTGCACACAGGGCGGAAATGTTGCGTATACGGTACGTCACTAATCTGCTCGACACTTGCTACAACATGGTGTGACTCTGATCTGTCTGCCTATCGCACCTGGTGTTATATTGCCGGTACGCCTTGTTGCCTTTATTTTTATGTTAATATGGAGACTTTGCAATAGTATGACTGCACACCGACGGTGAGTAGGTGCATGGGGAATTCATCCGGCGACCTCATCCCGCGACCTGTGGGCGCCGGCTGCACCTTCAAGTAAATGACCTCAGGCTGAGAAGTGCCAAGGGCGCCAAATACCGTATACGACACAAGATAACACGCCCCCTGGACCGATTTCCAAAGCTCGATTTCGCCACGACGAAGAACATTCATTAACGAAACGATGCATTTTCGGGAAGCTCTCGACGAGACGGCTTCAACGTCGCCGTTCTCGACACCACCGCTCTTGCTGCTGTTGAGAAACCGAGCTTTGAAAATCGGTCCAGGGGGTGTGTTATCTTGTGTCGTATACGGTACTGTTGATGCTGGATTGGTTGGAACGATCAGGGACAATTGGATGGCGGGTTTGTTTTGGCGAGTATAATAGTCGCGTGTACAAGCTACTTTTTTCAGTCTAGTACAGCACGCGCCGCCATCACTGGAAGCCTCTTATTTTTCCCGAGGCTCGCCTCTTATTTTGTCTAACACTGCTGTACAGGTAACCTCACGGCGAAATAGCTACATATAAGTTGTTGTTTTTCGTAGGCTTCTTGAGTGAGCACCTGTTCTTACGGCTCAAAAGTTCTTCTGCTCGTTCTGCATGTAATTGGAGACAGCACGTGCGACGAGATGTATGTGTACGCGAAATGTACATCGCGTGATGTTGTGGTTGTTTTTTTGTACACCAGTTATTAGTTAGATGCTTTTTGCTAGGCCAACGAAAGCTCGGTAAGCCCATATATGCGTGCGTGCGTGAATAGTTTCGTGTTTACGAGCTTCAAGTCAAACCGATTCCGTTTTTCCCTGCTCTGCACGGCGGCAAGCCTCTGGATGCACCTGTCTGTTTGGGTTGATCTTGTTGGTTGCAACACGCGTTACGATTGATCGTCGACATAGCGCCCAACAATGAACAACAGGCATTATTGATACGCAGAACGCGATGTCATCATGGTGGCGTTCGTCTGAACGGAACAACAGGCGAATTCTACTACTGGTATCATCAGGTAATGGAGCGCAATGAGGTATGTATGTTTGTCTTCACAGCAAGCAGCAGTCCTCCCTGAAAGCTGTCGCCTTGTAAAATGAATCCACTCCCAGCGCTATATCTCTTCGTCAAGGAAGGGTAAAAACTCGTCCAGGTCGTCACGTCCCAATCATGAAAGTTCGGAGGCGGGGGTGAGAGGGCTGGCTGGGACTTCTTCATTCCTAAAACTGGTTACAATTCCTGTCTCATCTCCACGAGTTAACTCCCGATGACGTTCCATTTCTCCTCAAGCACATACATACCACGTACGTACGCTGTAGACAGCAGCAGTAGAGAAGATGCCATGGGTCAGAGAGCGTGGATTGCAGTCCCTTTTTCAGAAGGGAAACGAAAGTGGAGTGCTCAAACACAAAATGAACCAACATCCAGGAAGCTCGTTGTCTAGACTACAATACATGTAGATTATGTACGTTGCGTGTTGGACCATTATTGTCTCGAATTTGAAGAATCGTCTTGAAAATTCAACTTCTTATGCATTGGCATGCAATTGGCATGCATGCGGTACTCGACGTGGCGTCTTCGAGAAGAAAAACATAGTTTAGCTTACCCACGCAAACAGGCGCCATTTCCCATGCACCATTCGGTGTGTGGCAGCTCTACAACTATGTCATCACATGTTTAGACTACTGCTGAATGTAGCGTAGATAGAGTACTCTGTAGATGGATCAAATAAACGACGATACATGTACAACAACAACAGAAGTTTTTTTTACTATTATTTAGCCTGTGGTGGCGTACGTATGTATGTACTCGCTACCTTCAATCGACATACATATGCATATGCCAATTGACACGTGATCTGGGGGTCATCCATGGTTTCCACATGAAGCGCCCCTTGCGTAGGCACACACTTGCAGCGAGATGTGGGCCGCTATGATCAAGCGATCAAGCTCTGTGTGCGGGGTGCGGCGAGATAACAAAGTTCAAAATCTGCATTTAAAAAAACACGACCAATCATCGTGTCGCATTTAGTGGCCGCTTGCGCTCTGAATTGCCCGGACGTCGCAGGACCATCTTTGCTCGCTCCTCCCTCCTCCCGCCCCCGCCACATCACAACACACACATCAACCAATCTCTCTCTATTCCTTCTCATCAAGTAAACATGTCTGGACGCGGAAAGGGCGGTAAGGGTCTGGGCAAGGGCGGTGCCAAGCGCCACCGTAAGGTACTCCGCGACAACATCCAGGGCATCACCAAGCCCGCCATCCGCCGTCTGGCTCGCCGTGGCGGTGTGAAGCGTATCTCGGGACTCATCTACGAGGAGACCCGCGGGGTGCTCAAGGTGTTCCTCGAGAACGTCATCCGTGACTCGGTGACCTACACCGAGCACGCCCGCCGGAAGACCGTGACGGCCATGGACGTGGTGTACGCCCTCAAGCGCCAGGGCCGCACCCTCTACGGTTTCGGCGGCTAAAGCTCATCGTCATGCTGCTGCAGCAAAGCAAGACAAGCGGCTCATCGCTCACACGCACCCGCGAGCGAGACGCCCCCTGCACAAACCAACCTGGTGTTTACTCAACACCACCCAACTCAACAAAGAAAAATCTGCCCCACAATCGTTTCGGTGTCATCGCCGATGTGGATGTCCAGGTGAGCAAGACATCACCTTCCCTTGGAAGAATGTATCATTGAACAGCAGGAGTATTACTGCTGTTGAATTCCTATTTGTACGTTTAAAATAATTACACGCACAGAAAGACTACAACTACCCATTCGTAAGACCCAAATGGTAAACTCCAACGGCCGATTTTCCATCAACAGAGATGTTGAGCTAACCATTTGTGTATCACCATGTTCTGGTCGCGTGTGCAAAAATGCGAAGTGCAAAGGCATCCGGGCACTTCAGGAGTGTACCGTGTGCCATTTTGGTTGCATACCGAAAATAGTAGTCGGTAGCATGACGTGGCGTATTTATGCATTCTATGCACACCGGCATTCACACGCAGCCCCGATTATCTACCGTGCGTAAGGTTCCGAGTCATCGCACAGGTGCGATGCGATGACTCGCAACCTGAGCGAAAGCTTAAAAATCAACGGAATTGGCGGAGGGTAGTTGGGTACCAGCGATTTCGACCATGCCAAATCATGCCAGTGCTGGCACGTTAGGTCATCGTCGCACACCGTACTTGGATGTATAACGGACCTAAAAAAACTTACTGGTGTCCTGGGTCGGTAAATTTGAAGATTGTCCATTCAACCAAAACACGACAAAGAAAACAGCATCCATATACATGAGCTAAAACAACCAACAGCAGTGAGTACCACCTTGGAACCGCAGCACGAAGCACTATCAGTGTTGCACTTTCGCTTTCAAACTAAAACCTAGCACCCACAAGGCTAACTGCTGTGGTTGATGTGCGCGTGTGTGGGTACGTTGCGTGTGGAGTCTGCAACAACCGCAGAACAACTGAGGTGTCCGTGCGTCTGAATTATATGGCGGAAATGTTTAGAAAACGACAAAACGACCGCACGGGGGTGCGGTGACTCGCAACCTTGCGGTATACTCCAATGTACGTTGCTCCAGCGTCCAACTTCCAACCCGAATCAATCAATACTTCCTCGTCCAGAATAGAAGTAGTACCATACATCACTCAGTAATTAATTCTAGTTTGCATTCAAGACCCACGGCGAAGCAAACGGCCACCTAAAACACGAACTGGGAAGCCCCGTCCGAGGGCCTGGTGTCAATCATCCATCAACATTGCTTTGCATTGCTGGACAATCTTTTGCGCGAACGCTTTGTTTGACGAAAACCTATGCTACATGTGCAGATAGTAGCGACGAAGAGTCAGACTCACATCCCAAGCAGCCCCTTGAAACAAGAACACTCCGACAACAAGCGCCATTTCGCGTCAAGCACCGTCTCCAACTCGGATCCAAACGGATCGCTATATATAATGATGTAACGGACTGTTTTCCCCACCAGCGGGAAAATGCGCACGCATTGGGTACACTGTACACGCACACAGAGGTAATGACAGCCACGACGAGACGAACTACACAAACAAGTGTCAACCGCTCCAGAGCATATACATATACTTTCATATTCCCTCGTGCAGGACACACAACCTACCCTACAATACTTACAGGATGTGCCATACACATCTATCTACTAATGTATAACATGACACCGCTGAACGAGTACACTCTTGCAGGCAGCTGCCGACGGCATTCACGCCAGAAAGCCTAGAGAGTCAATAATCGCAATCGCCAATCCTTATTCTTCCACGCCAGAAACGCATGCATGAGTGCCCTCAAGACCACACTCGCGCCTGCCTACAGCAGTAGTACCACCGCTACGGCCATAGCATTCAACAACACCTGAGAAAACTGGCACCCTTTACTTATGGTCAAGCTTTCCCCACGATGGCCACAACAAGAAAAACATTGCACTCAGCCCTACTGGGTGCAAGACACGGCACGATCTCGTCGTCAGCACTCAGCATCACTCGAAAGGGTCGGTGCATTTGTTGGAGATCCATGCAGCATCGTGCACCATAGGGTCATCCTCGTTAGACTGTCTCGACCAGCAGCAGCAACAACAAAGGCGTGGTGAAAGGCAGAAGGCGAGAGGGCTGATTGCAGTCAGAACAACAGTGGGCTCGCCGACAGCAGAACAGCAAGAAAATCATCAGCAGAACAGAAGTGTTCCGAGCAATCAACTTTGAGCGTGAGCAAGAGCATCCACATACATGTAGCTGCTGACTCGGATTTGGTGCGTCGACTTTGTGGAGCGCGATAGGGAGTCCCAGTTCAATGGTCCGCTTTCGGTTGGGCTGGGCGCAAGACCCAAGGTGCATGCAGGGCCGAACGAGGGGGATTTTTTTTTTTTTTTTGTCTCCCACATCGAAAAACTTGCGACATACATACTTGTACCCAATGGCGGGCAAGTATAGTGAGTGCCAAAACACAGGCAAGACTCCATCAGCACTGTTTTCTCCACAACGTAAACGGTTCTCTCCTCTATCCAGCACTTCAAAATCAAAGAAGCGAGTTTCGATTTCGTCTACCAATCAACGAACGGTGGTGTGTAGTATTCGTTACAACACTCACTACTACGCGCCCAAACTCGCCTTCCATTCCCACAAGGCCATCGTTGAATTCATGACCGAAAGCGTTCCGAACCCGAAAGCACTCCCGTTCCGGAAAGCACTCCAGTCGGGGAGGCGGTAGTAGTCGGCTGATGGGCACGACAAAGAGGGTGTGGAGGGCGGCATGAGGGTTTGGGTTATCGGGTTGTCGTACAAAACCATAAGTCGTAGTTTTGCGAACCCAAGTAACGCCTCGAGAGAATCCCTTAAGCCCATCCTGTGGCTGAGCAAGTCGGGAGAGAGAGGGGTACGACGAGTGCGAGTAACGCATCGGTCGATCAGCTATCGCACCTCTAATATCTCAGCTACTATGCATACTGCTGTACCAGTTCTCGTCACCAGCAGCGTGTGCGCCAGCCCCGATAGCCCCCGCGCTGGCGCCCTGTCAAACACCCCCAGGGGAGAAATTTCTCAAGAAAATTTTGGGCGGGACACCCTGCACACCCACAATACGGGGACCCTGAGGACATTGACGAACAACGAACGTGACCACCCCGCCATTTTTTTTTCCCGGAAATTTGATCCGTCCGCTTCTGGAGCTCCACTATCTTGCGCGCGATCGTTCACACGGCTGGCTCTACTACGCCATTGCATTTCACTCACGATCTCTCCCTTCGTTGTTTCCAGATCCGCCGACCACCAGATTGACGAGTCCGGCATCGTTGAGCTGTCCACTCAGGACGGGGAGAGATCGCTCGTACGCTTTGAGGACCGGAAACAAAAGAGCGCGCACAGACATAAGTACAACACAGACGACGCAACGGACGATCGCGAGACAGGTCAAGAGCCGAACCAAAATGAATTAGATGGGTGAATTGGCTTTTAGTTGAGAGAGATAATCAGGTCGTAAAACATCTGAGAATGCCATGCGTGTGTGTGCTAGTCTTCACAATGCGCCTTCAGTCGAACAGAGGTCGAGACCAACAGGGGACCTTCTTGTCCAGCCGTAGCCGCAGCACGAGCACTAGCAGCAAGTACTTGGTAAAACACTTCGCAGCAATGGACACAGTATTTGGATAGAACGAATACATACCACAAACACAGTGCAAGCGACCAACCAAGTCCTCAGGCCTCACGGTAGGCGGTGGACTCTTGGTGTTGCACAACACATTCTATTCGCTCGTGGCAACTTTCAGAGCCATTTTTCCTGGTTCGTGTGCTCATTAGTATGATCTCCTTCTGCTTGTCTCACCGTGCACATGGCCAGCAATGGCTAGGGAGGCCTTGTGCTGGAACAGAACTGGCTCCATGGCGTGCATCGCCGTTGCTGCCATCCTCTCACCCGGGTGCGCGAGGTTCGAGTTGTGCCACGGGCAATGGAACATTGCCACGAGCCACGGAGTCCGAGAGCGATCGCACCCATCGAGGTCCTGCTTGAGCGGTGCGGCAACCAAGGCACCAGGAGATGCCGCCGTTCACGGCACGCGGGGAGAAGAGCAAGGGGAGCATCCACAAGATGGCAGTACAACCGGCAAGGAGACACCCCGAAGAGATTCGTATTTTTCCTTTTGAGACCAGAATTCAGCCCCCATGTCGTTCACCCCGGAAAGTGAGATAAGGATTTCACGGAGAGCCTTTGTCCCACAACAGCGTGTCCGTTCTTTGCCTGCTATTTTGCGTGCCCTTTAGGTATGTGCTGGGTTCGAGGTACCCGGCAGACCGTCATTTGGGGGTGTACGGTTCATTGCTGCTTGTGGACGGCGAAGCTCGCACCCTCACCTCGACTAGCCAAGAGTGCTGCACAGAACCTTCCCCTGTTGCCGTGTAGGGGTTCAGCACGACAACGTGCACGCTCGCCACATCGAAACTGTAAAAGCTGCGGGAGGAAGCGAGCACAGTACGAGCGAGCGCAGTCACGCACATCAGTCACGACGCTTTGTGGTTTGTCCTTCCTCAATGGGACGTAAAAGCGAGAGGGAAACGAGGTCTCATTCAAAACGTAAATCCCTTGCCACCGACCCTAGGCCAGGATAGCATACGCAGCTTTCCTTGGCCCACCTGTTGCCGAAATCGTAGGTGCCGGACCACTCTGACGGGCTGCATTTCGGCACTAGCCCTTCGACCTCCCCCTCGTCTTCCTCTCCCCCTCCGCCTTCACTCTCCGGCCAGCCTGTGGACGACACGGGCCTTTCGAAGGGAGCAACGGCCTCCCTTGCACCCAAGACTGCCTGTGTCATCCATTCACCTCCGAACTCCGCCGCTTCACTCTCCTTGGCAGAAGCGCCCTTGGTGGAGAGGTCGTTAAGGCCCGGCCCGCAAGCGGTCCGGTTGCCGTCGAGGCCTCCCGCCACACCGCACTCGAAACCCCGCACGGCGGGCGCTTCGGAGGGCATACGGAAGCGGTGCTGGAAGGCAGCGAACGGCCCGCTCGATGTGCTTCCCGCCTCTATCTCGTGGTTTCCCGCGGCCACCATCCATGGGACGTGAGAGGCAACCGGGTCTAGCATCCGCATGAAAGAGTCCCACCTCTCCTGGGTATCCGAGCAGGCGGTGTTCACGCACTTTTACAGAGTGTCAGAAGAGCCGGGGGGTGGCGGATGGGGAGGTATGCATGTCGCTAGCTAAAAGAAACGCTGCCATGGACCCCCCGTGTATTGGACGGTCAATACCCCCTACTCTGGGCACCGCACGATGCGTTGGTTTGTTACCCATGAGACGGTCGCACTTGAATGAAGCTAGGCTGTACATGGTCCGACCCAAATTGTATGCGGGGAACTGTGTGTGTGGCTCTCTCTCTCTCTCTGCGCGCGAACGCACGACTACTTGGCGGTCAATACGGTAGTGCGTTGGATCTACAGAGCAGCGTTGAAGGGCAACTTTGGCACCTGTATGCACTCCGCGTATGCCAGGTCTCCAGCGTGAAGGACGACGTCGATGGCAGGTTGGTGTCTGCCCAGGGCGTCCAAGGTGTTCCTAAACCACGGCGGTACACACGATACATGTCGTACAAAGGAAGGGTGTAGCAGCGCCCCAAGCACAGCAGCACCAAAGCGCGGGGTATCAGAACGAGCCCGACTTCATCACCATGTATCACACGCAACATCTTGGGTGTGGAGAGATGATAAGATGATGAGAAACCGACAACCTCGACAAACTAGGGTATCGCCGGGGCCGTGGGTTGGACACGAGTAGCCTCTTTACGTCGCTTGATATACGGACAGCGCATATCGTTCCAGCGACGCCAACACCGTAAGCCGGGAAAACCTGCTGTGGCATCCGACAATGTTTTTGCGGGACCATGCGACAACACATGGGGCGCAACCAGTACTGCTGTTGCTGCTGCTGCCGTTTGTTCCCAGTCCGCGGTAACCCCAAGCAAGGTTGAACCGAGACACATCGACTGTGTTATACGAACCCGTACGCAAGCCAGCACCCAGAATCGATGGCACACTCGTCGTTTGAGAAATGCACAACTCTTGTCGAACAGTGCCGAAAAACCATCCGTCACCTCGAATCGTTGGTCTGCCCCAAATCACCGAGAATGCCAAGAACAAGCGGTTGCTCGGGAGCGAAGACGCCGGGCGTCGTGAAGTCTCGGACAGTGCTCAGCGCAAGGTCTTCGTCTCCGACACAATAGAAAATTGTGGTAGACGGCTCCAGACCCTGGATTACTGCCGAATGCAGCCACCCGCTCGTGTATTCCTCCAGGTCTAGGTTGGTGTGGTGAGTCGAATATCCTGACGGGCAGAATCCGGAAATTTAACATCAGTTACAAATACACATTCGCCGCAGGGGATGTGTGTGCAATAGTGAGCATGGTGTGAGTTCGTCACAAGACCAACATAAAGTAGACAACTTAAGTTCACCATTCAAGCAGGCACGCTGACCAATGTTGCAGTGTATCATCGCTCAAGACGGAAGCGAGCAACAAACAACGTAGAGCGGCCACTACCTGCACGTGAAGAACGAGAATATAGCTTTGTACTTTTCAAGAGTTTGGGCCGTCATCCCGCCACGTCACATCCTTCCAACTATAAGAGATTATTCCATGCCCCAGGTACCGTGGCGACACGCTCTACTGCTGTGTGGACAGCTGAAACGCTTTACACGAGCATTATTTATACCCATCTCTTGCACGACCTCTACTACTGTATTATATTCAGCTCTGTTGCCTCACTCGTAGCGTTGCCAACGACGACCTCCCCGACAGCGTGAACGTCCATGTCCATATCTCGGGACCAGAAAACTTGCGACTTGGTTTCCTCCCATGTCAACCAGGAAACAGACATGGCGTACATGTCTCTTGAGGAGGACAACAGCAGCGCGTGTGGGCGGGGCGGGCGGAAAAGGGCGGGTTGTGGTGTATGCGTATCCAAGAGGGAGTGGATACAGAGATGTTTCACCTGGAATGTCCATACAGCAGTCTGTCGGCAGAAAGACTACAGCAGTACCAGGTATTAGGAACGTTTATGCCGGTGTACAGCAGTTGCAGCACTTCATCGAGCCGTGTATCGATACCGGTAGGTCGTGCAGCAGTAGATTCGTTGTATAGAGTCAGCGTGTACGTGCCGAGCAAAGCTGTTGTTGCCAACATACACTCTCCACAACAGCAGTTCTACGTGTATCCTGGCCAAACATTACAAGCATATCACACTACTATTGGTTAGGGCTAACCGAAACAGAGGCAGCGACCCCTCCCACTCGCTTCGTGGTGTGTGTGTATTCGTCCCATCTATTCTGGCGCTGGTTTACGTACGCAGGCCTTTCGGCGTATCTACAATGTATGTACCTGACATGGGGCAGAGGATAAGTAAGAGACACTCCTCACCTGTCGCCGCCAGCTAGTGCAAGATGGATTTGCTCGGGCTGTCCTGGATCGTCACCAGCATCGGCCGGCGTGCCTCGAAATCGCTGCTGGGGTTGACGGTCGACCGCCTCATGTTTGTTCTTCAGCAGGTCCGAGGAGGTCGGCCTCAGAAGGGCAGACGCAAGCAGCGTCCACCGCAAGATGATGTGTCGCAGTCTCAACGCGTCTGAGAAGCGGAGCATTACGACACACCGCCGGACAACAAGCACTGCTGTCTATAGTCTAGGGCATCTGCCACATGCGCCACGACCGGATACACTCGAAGTCGATCTTGCACATATGCCTGTGCGACTCTGACAGGACGGTCCACCGGCAGCCAGAAAAGGCAGGAAAGATTCGAAAAGCGGCTGTTGTTGTTGTTGTTGTGCAGTGGTGGTGAGATGCAAAAAAAAAAGGTGCTCCGTGTTGAGCCTGTCCCGAGTAGGTACATGTTCGGACTTTTTGGCCGTTTGCGGTGTCCCACAAGCTGGCCGCGTGGTGTTCGCCGAGACACTCTCTCGCTGCTCGCGGTTTTTTCTCTGCCTATCTCTGTCCCGTGCACCCTTTCTCTCTCCCTTCGACCGCCGCCTGGCTGATCAGGATTGCCATCGTGTGGCGAAAGAAGTGCGGCAGGGTTGCATCTGGGAGATATCCGTTGACTGAGTGTGCCGTGAACTAGGAGAGCAGGCGAGGCGAGGGGTGGGGGGTGAACCAAGAAGGCGGCAGGATTTGGAGCAGCACGGCGAGGAGAGACAGGGGTGCGTGCCTGCAATTGGGATATACCGTTGTGCTCTCCATGCTGTCAGACGCCTGCCCAGAGACGCCCACCTTAGACCGGAGGCGGGCGGCGTGGGTCACCCGCTGTCTGTTCACAAAGACCCCTGCGCTGCCTCTGGTAAACTGGGCTGCACGGGGGTGTCTCTGTACCCCATGATGTTCCATGCGGTGGTGGGCATGATTGGTGGACCACGGGAGGATTTTGAGGCTCCATTTGGGTGGCGTTTTGTCTTGGCCCCGACAGCGGTGTCCACAGAGTTTCCCCAAGGAGTGAAGTGTTCGTGTGTGTGTCCATTGGGTGTGCGCACCGGTCCCTGTTTTTTCTGGTTTTTTCCTTTTTTCCTGCTCCTTTCCGTCGGGTCTGTTTCTAGGTGTGTTGGTTTGGTGTGATTTTTTTTTTTTTGCTTTCAACAACGACGACGAAGTTCCCTAATTTCGATTTCTTGTGTGTAGAGCGTACAATAAAAAAAGAAGAATAGAAGACACAAACACACGCGCGTCCGGTGGTACTTTCTAGTGGTTGGGAACGACGTGCACGTCAAACCTGGACCCTTAAATGATGCAGAGCTCTTCTTGTCAGTCCAAAAGACACGTGCACTGGGATATGCATGTGCGAGAGCCGGTGCTTGCATGTGGGCATCGGAAATTAATGGGTTTGTCGTGTTTTCCTGGAGATGCTCCTTATCCTCTAAACCGTTCTTGGTGTGGCGTGGTATGTATGCATACTGCTATATATTCTACCTACATTGACATCATTCTTGTCGTATGTGCATATTCGAAGTATGAATATCCTCGCAAGAATGAATTTCCTGCGAGAACGAAGGAAAGCCTGAAAAGCCTACATACATGCATTGGAGAGAGGCCTGGACGCAGCAGCCAGCCTTGAGCGGGAAGAGTCAGAGTTCCAATGCTGTCGCCCGGCACAGGAGGCGCATACTTTCTGTCCGCGCTTTTGGTTGACATGCCGTGCCTACCTGCTGTCGTCGTGCAGACGGGTAAAATTCGAACCGGCACTTGAGAGGGCGTTCTTGGACAGCAGTGTGGTGGGGTTCATTATAGTATTTCATTATAGTATTTGTATATGTATGTACAACAGCTCAAACTCGTTCCCCCGCAATACAGCAGCTAGCATTGCTGCCGTGCTACTTTTTATGGTGCGGATTCAAGACGGCTGGCCCCCACCGCCTGTGTTTTTTGTTTCCCGTTCTGCTGGTACGACCAGGTGGATCGTGCGGACACGCTGGTGCTAGGAAAAGTCCTATTTGTGAAGCGCCGCCGCCATGGCGCAGGCTGTGGCTTATTCGGCTTCGGAGGAGAAAATCTTGGATTCGGAGCAGGAGCCGGAGATGGATGGAGTGGACCCATGGAAGGCCGCAATGCAGGTATGCCCTGTTCAACGTTATCGTCAACATTTTTGCCATTGCCTCAGTGGAATGGTACGCGCATGTCGTCTTCTCGCCGTAGAGACATTCATTGTCAAGTTTGGCGGTGCACAATCAACAGTTTTGCGGTGGATCAACGCATTTTTCGTACTAAAAATGGTGGGACGATTTGGGTGCAACAAACACCGATGCCCCCAAGCTAATTGCGGTCCGTGCCGACGCCCTCTCTCTGTCAGTACTGCCTGTAAGCAGCCCACGGTCTCCCTCACAAGTGGGTCCTCTACAGGTCGTGTTGAACAGAGGGGTTGATGCAAGTCGCGGTTTGGTGTGGTGTATGCTACTCAAGGGGGGGTAAAGCAGGCACGGCCAATTCCAGAGTAATCTATGTCTACAATATCTGTCTACAATTGTATGTATCTATCGGAAGATGGGCGGTTCTGGAGAAACAGCGTGGAGCCGTGTACACTCTGTCGTTTCTAGACGAAGAACTGGTACTTGAGTGCACATACACAACAATTGTGCTTCTCATAGTATCTATAGATTTGCTATTTTTGCAGACTGTGAAGGGAAATCTTCAGCCAAGCACACAGCAGCAGCTCCTCCTATGCATACGCATGTCATTTTAACAATACCGTCGACGATGATGGACGGTGAAGCCAGTTGATCCATATGAACCACAGGTAGCTGGGACGGCCATTTTGGTTTTCTCTACTTTTCTTTGTTCGAACTATGCATACTTGAGATAAGACATGATGGGTGAGAAAACAGTTCCGTGAAAAAGTCGTTTTTTAGACGAAACCCGTGCCAAACGTTAGGGCCCGTTTTTGGTGGAGTCTGGCAACAACCCTCAGGTCCCGCGGCATAGCTAAGATGGGATTTGAGGAGAAAACAGTTTCGGCTGGGAAAATCATGCAGCGTTATGCAACAACACTTGCGTTGAGGCAAAACGGCACACGCGCACTGCGCGCGGCTATTGGACATTGCCCCGGAATGCATAGGTGGTGTGTTCTACGTGCGTGACGTATAGATATGGCACATGTGCTGCAAATTTTAACGCACCAGACACGCCAACCACACACCAAGGGAACAAGATAACAAGTACATGGACGGTGACATCAGATACCACAAGAAGATGAGATGGGAAGACTTGTCCGTTCGCTCTCTGACCTTCCGATGGCACTGCACAACCATACCCTAGATTGCGTGCAACGGAGCAACCATACCCCCTACTATTATGCCATACTTGCGTTCGCTGTGCTCCTGGAGCTCTCTCATGCGTTTCTATTGTTTTTTGCACAAATGATGGTGAACTTTGAAGTCGGAAGTATGATACATCGAGTACAGAAGAAAACACGCGTTGGTTCCTTGGGACAAACAATATATTCTCCTTCTGAAAGTGTAAAACCTCTTTCATCTGTGGGGCGCGTGGCGTTTTGCGCGTGTCATCGATCACGTGAAACAAACACACAAACGTGAATCCTCGTTACGTAGGCTCTTGTCGATGGCTGCCATTCTGGTCCACGCGTGCGCATGTCGTGTGATACTCTTTTGTGGTTCGGAAGAGCGTGTTGCAGTAGCAGGTGGTGTGCCAGGAACATGTTGAGATGTAGGCGACAGGTAGTCAGAAGTAGCGATGGTGGTCAACCGGTGAAGAAAAGATAGGTGTGCGTGGATTGATGGGATTGGATATTTCCTTCCTCGCCGTTCTCCCTGCAGTATGTCTAACGGTGTGTAGCGGCGTCATGCCCCGCTCTGCCCCTTTTCGTGCCGATAGCCCATCAACAGCAGGTTTTCGGCAAGCTTTGCCACGTTGGCAGCCTTCTCTAGAGGCATAACTGGCCAGAAAATAAGAAGCTATGACCATTCGTCGCCATCGAGCGTGTGTCACCGATGTTGTCGTGGGCACTATTATTAATACTTCAGTAGGCAACATGAGACTTAAGGCTCCGCTATGCAAGCTTGTTGATCCCTGCCGGTTCTGAATATAGTGTTGGCCTAGGACTCAAATGAATGTAGCTTGGTCTGTGATGCGATCACGTGGCCATTTGTTGGGTGTGTGGTGCGGTAGTAGTACTGTGGTGCTGTAGTCTTGCACACCTTGCACCGGGAATTTGCGATGTGGCTGGTACCGCCGCCGTCATGTGTCATCATGGCATGGCCATCTTCCGCCCCCTTTGTGGTTTGGATACGGTACCACCGCGGGCCGCATCTCTCTATCCCCGTCTGGTCATGTTATGACACCAATACCCCCCTCCCCCCTTCGATGTTTGCCATCGGGGCTGGGTTTTCGTCGCTTGGCAACGACGTTGTAAAACAAGCCGCCCCCCCCCGGTGTTTGCCATCGGGGTTGGGTTTTCGTCGCTTGGCAGCGATGTTGTAAAACAAGCCAATTCACTTCGTGAGCTCGACAACCAGGTTACCGCTTTTTTTTTTGCGGTAACCATAATGGTGGTCTAGTAGATTATGTTGTGCGGGGTCGAGAACCCTCACTCCGCGCAAAGAGGATGGATGATCGCACGTTGTGTTAGATTGGTCAAACATCCTCGAGGCAGTTACACAGAGCTAATAACTGTCTCTGGAAGTGAAAGCTCCAGAAAATAAATTAAGTCATACGCAGCTGTCATCCGTACGCAAGTAAGTAAGCACAAGGTGCCGAACACCCTTAGCAGGATACAGCGCACACTTCATGCGACTCGCCGAATACCTCACGGCGCTTCGCGCTTGGTGATGTGAGAGCCTGGTCCGGTGAGAACCCGGCGTGCTCCGTCCCGGCTTTGTAGGGATGCGAGGTCAATGATCTAACGACTACGGCATGCACGACTATGAGTACACCCCCCCCCCCTGGAAGTCGGAAGCAGTCCGGAAGGGAGTAGAAGTAGGGGACACGGAAACTTCGGTGTCAGGAATGCTGTTTGCGGATGATTTTGTTGGTATGTCGGACACCCCTGAGGGACGGCAACTACAAATTGACGCGGCGAAGAAGTTTACTGATAAGTGGAGATTGTCTGCCAACGTTAAGAAGAGTGCCGTCATGGTATGCAACGAGGTCAGGGAGGAACCAGTAGAAAATAGATGGAAGTGGGGGATCGAGGAGATTGCAGTAGCGGACCAGTACACATACCTCGGAGTAGAGATCGCAAAAGACTGCTCGTGGAATGCACACATGTCCAAGGTAGCGGAAAAGGGCAAAGCACGAGCAGAGAAGCTGCACCCAATACTCGCAAACCGGCACCTCGATACACGCATCAAATTGACGGTTTTGAAGAGCGTAATCGTACCGCCGCTAGAGTACGCCGGAGAAGTATGGGAAGGAAATAAGAAGGTAGTGAAATAACTCGAGGCGGCGCAGATGAAAGCAGCGAAAATCATCCTAGGATGCTCCAAGCGCACAAGTAATGCAGCCGTCAGGGCAGACTTGGGGATCCAATCCCTACGGTCGGGAAGAGACGCAAGGAAGCTGACATGGCAGTATCGCATGTGCGGGATGGGAGAGGAGAGGTTGCCGAGAATAGTATGGGAGGCGAAGTGGGCAAACAAAAAGAGGGGTAGACAACCCACGGAATGGGTCAAGGTTGTAGAGGACGTATGGAAGGGGTTAGGCATCGACGAAGATGAAACGCTGGAAACGGACGGTCTACAGGGGTTCAAGGAGAAGATATCTGTTGCTTGTGCAGAGAGAGAAGAACAGAATCTAAGGAAAGAAACCAAGGATAAGGAGGGTCTAGAAGTGTACGGAATGTTGAAAGAAGGAATAGCGTTCAAGGATTACCTACATGGACCAATGGATGCAGGGACAAAGCTTAAGGTCAAATTCAGGACCAGGGACATAGGCCTTCGAGAAAGTCGACGAAGACATAGGACGGTAGACGACGAAGACGACAAGTTCAAATGTGATTGCGGCTTCGCATGCGAAGACCGTGTTCATGTAGTCGCGGAATGTCCGTGGTACGAAGAGGAGAGGGAGGTGTACATGACTGAGCTGGGAAAAATGCAAGGGAAATACAGGGAGATGTTTGAGGCATGGAATAGAGAGGAGAGGACGGTAGCTGTACTGGGGAGTAGGAAGTGGTTTGAAGAGGCGGGAAGGGATATCGTTAGGATAGACGGACTAGGGAAGATACTTTTGAGCCACCTTTGGCAAAGTAGGAAGGAACGATTGGCCATCGGTGATCGGTCCTGTGGGAACAATGCTCCGTCCTATCGAGGACGCGTGGTCAATGGTCTAACCGCTAAGGCATGCAAAACATAAGAGCACGCCCCCCTCCCCCCCCCCCAATCAATCAACGCTTGAGGCATAACACGTGTGTCTCCTGTACTGCTGTACTTGTGTCGATGATGTCCCTCGCCATGCACAGGGCGACTTGGATGCGTTGCTGCAGTACATTGACGACAACGGGGACGTGAATCAGCGGGACCGCGACAACAATACTCCTCTGCACTGGGCGTGCCAGGAAAGCCACTTCGACATCGTCGGGGTGCTCATGTCGAGAAACTCGGCGGTGGATCCTGTGAACGACTTGCAGTCCACGCCTCTCCATTACGCCTGCAGAGAGGTAAGACTACCGGTGTTGCTGCTATGTACGTAGTGCGAGGTGTTGTTAGTGCGAACACTGAGAAAAAAAAACACTGCTGTTTACACAGCCGGGGCCAAGAACGGTGCACAGGAGACGTGGAAAGACGCTGCAGAATGACGCTGCAGAACACAAAACCAAGCGCGAGAAAATATGACGGCTATAATTTATACCATACCAAAGCGTACATTGTACATTGTACAGCAGTGTGACCTCGAGCAAGGTAGTTAGTTCTCAAGCACCCCTACGGGAACAAGCATGTGTGTTTTGATGCAGATGTAGTGGATGGTGGACATTTGAATATGAACGGATTTTTTTTTATTTTTTTAGCCAAAAGGAGCGATGGGTGTACGGGAACGGGGAGCGATGATAACGATATGGAAAAACCGCCGGGTTAAGAACAATGTAAGCGAGCGCACAGCTGTAGTATGCATCGACCGCGCTAGCCGTCTGACCAATCAAAACGAAAATACGTTCGTCTTGCTGCGGGACGAAAAACGCGAGTGAGCACGCATTTAGTCGGCAGGGTATCAGGAAGACGTCTGTTTTCGAGCAGGACGGTCTACGGTCGTCCGGTGGCCTGGTGATGTACAGCAGTAAGCTCGAATTCCTTTCATTGCCTGCTCACTAGCGTTCGGTTGAGTTTCTGGAACAAGTTGCCTGGTGCTTTCTTTCTCTGTCTCCGTCTCTCTTCTTTCTCTCTCTCTCCCCCCCCCCCATCGGGGTTGGGTTTTCGTCGCTTGGCAACGACGTTGTAAAACAAGCCCCCCACTCGGTGTTTGCCATCGGGATTGGGTTTTCGTCGCTTGGCAACGACGTAGTAAAACAAGACAATTCACTTCGTGAACTCGGCAACCAGGTTACCGTTTTTTTTTTTTCCTCTGTTTTTTTTTTGGCGGTAACCATAATGGTGGTCGAGTAGATCATGTTGTGCGGGGTCGAGAACCCTCACTCCGCGCAAGGGGGATGATCGCACCACGTTGTGTTAAAATGGTCAAGCATCCTCGAGGCAGTTACAAAGTGCTTATAACTGTCTCTGGAAGTGAAAGCTCCAGAAAATAAATTAAGTCATACGCAGCTGTCATCCGTACGCAAGGAAGTAAGCACAAGATGCCGAACACCCTTAGCAGGATGCAGCTCACACTCCATGCGACTCGCCGAATACCTCACGGCGCTTCGCGCTTGGTGATGTGAGAGCCTGGTCCGGTGAGAACCCGGCGTGCTCCGTCCGGGCTTTGTAGGGATGCGAGGTCAATGGTCAAACGACTACGGCATGCACGACTATGAGTACACCCCCCCCCCCCCCTCTCTCTCTCTATGTCTCTCTCTCACACTCTATGTTCTCTCTCTTGTTGTTGTACAGGGCAACCTGGACATCGTGACCGGACTCATCAACTTCAACGCCAACCTAGAGGCCCGCAACAAGGTAACTGTCGCACAAGAATAGCCCAACCCTCTCTCCCTCTCTGCCTCTCGGTCTTCGTTACACGGCGTTCTGTTCCAGTTGGATAAGGTTGCAAGGGCTAATAACTGTGTAGGTGGACTGCTGGAATGCTGCCACTCTTTTGTAGATCCCTGGGCGTCATCGCTGTGGGCACCAAATACATCCTATGTAACACACCTCTCCTCTGTGACACGTTTCCCCGAAGATGCCAGTAATAATAGCTTTTGTTCATGTGCTTTGGACGAAAAAATGCATGCACTGAAAATCCTCCGGTGCTTAAGTTCCTCCTGCATACCACCGGCTGATGCGTCAAGCACATTAACCGCAGGTGTATACTGGAGCCCAGAGTAGATTGGACGAAAGCACACGTAGACGAGATGAGACTGGACGAGACCAGAACGAGACGATACTGCTGTAGTCCGAACGCCCTTGCCGTGTTGCTCGGATCGTCCTATGCATACCGCTATATCGTACCACCTTCGTTGGTGATATTTCGCCGTCTTCGACGATGCGCCGTGCCCCTGTGTCCCGTGACCTTTCCACCACTAATCGATGAACACTCGACACACCAATCACTGCAGGACAACCTGTCCCCGCTACACGTGGCCGCCGGCATGGGCCACATCGACGTAACGAAGCGTCTGCTCGACAACGGCGCTGACATGGAGGCCGAAGATAACGCTCTCTACACCCCACTCTGGAGAGCCGCTTACTACGGACACCCGGAGGTGGTGGAGGTACGCAGTATTCCGTTGGCTTGAATTGATTGTGTTGACTTGTGGCTGGTGGTGGTTGTTGTTGTTGCTTCATGTCACGTCAGTTCTGTGCGTGTGTCAGCATACATGCTCACGCCCGCGGTTTCAAGTGTTAAGGAAGGAGCGCGCTTGGGCGATCTGCGTGTGGCTGGGCCGCGTAACTCGTGTTTTGCACCGATCGAAAACATGAACGGCACACCACATCACCACAACCGCGGGTTGGTGCAGGTGCTGCTGGACAAGGGCGCCAACAGACTAGCGCGCAACAAGAAGGGCCGCAAGCCCGGGGATGTCTTCAGCCCCACGGTGGAAGACGATAAGAAGGAGCGCATCAAGATCATGCTGGGGATGGGTACAGCAGATGCCTCCGCCCAGCCCGCCGCCGCTTCCACGCCGGCTGCAGCCTCAGCTGCTTCGACGGCCGCGACATCCGCGGTGGAGAATGGCGTGGAGGCGGCCCGCGGAACAGGGGGCACCGCGGGTGGCAAGGGCGGTTCGGTGGGTGGGTCGAGCTACAAGGGGAACGGGGACGTGCCAGGGTCCACAGGGTCCACAGCAGGGGTGCCCCCGCCGGCGTACAAGGTGGGTCTCGACATGCTGGCGCTGGAAAGGACTCTTGCGTGTGTTGTGATGTTGATGTTGTGTTTTTAACATGAGGGGGTTGCCAACACCGAAAGAAGTCTAACCATCCATCTACAGTACAGCAGGGTTTTTGGTATTGTATAGGGTTGGTCGTCATGTAGGACGTGCGTGATGAGCGGGTACTTGAAGTATGAAGTTGGGCGTTTGGTGGTGTTCTAGGCTTTGCGGAGGGTGGCGGGGGATGCAGCCGCTTTGCTCTTCTCTCAAGGCTCAAGGAAGATCTGCACAAGAGGACCCGAGAGCGCAATACTCGTTTCTTCGAAGCATGCATGTATGTCTGTAGCGTTTGCATTTTTTTTTTGTGCTTAGGAGTGATTGCTTGCCAAGACATGACCTAGCTCATGCTATGAGGTACAGTATGAATAGGCTGTTGGCGACCATTCGCGGGTTAATTATGTATCCCTTGACGAACACAAACACTACGCTTCCTCTCGCGAACGGCATTGCTTCGGGGATCTTGCGTTTGTGCATTCGTGCACTGTTTCTCCCCCGCCAGAACACGTGACAACAGCAGTAGTTTAGTGGTGTACTTGTGTGTCGTGTCGTGATAGGCTCTTTATGCATAGGTACTGTTGATAGGAATTGTGGCCTGTTCATAAGGCCTGCCGGTAGCCTAACAACCACCTTTGAAGGCAGTTCAAGGCTTGAGCAATAAGGCCCGTTTAGCCGGCACCGACACCGACACCTACAGCGCGGGCTGAAAACCCCTCCACCCCCACCACCACAATATTGTATTGTACTCGCGGCATTGGCATTGCTGAAACGCCGAGGAGAAGACCCGATTCGATCCTTGGCACCCTCTCCCTCTTTATCTCAATATCTCATAATAGCATGCTACAATACCATTATAATACCATGGATAGGACGATAGCACAGGACCAACTGGTGGTGTTGTACCGCAGTACATGTGCATTATGTGGTGTCGAAACGGCTGCATGGTCAACGCTCACATGAGACAATCCCCCCCCCGTCCCCCGTCCCCCTGCTTGAAACCGTCGATGGATCGAATGGATCGGATCAACAGCCACCGATGTCAGCACGCCCGGACCCAGCACCATCCGCGGCCAGCCTGGCGGACTCTTCCTACCAATACCCGGACCCCTCTCCGGCCAACTCACCCTCCTCGGCGATGCTCAACTCGACAGCTACGGTCATGTCGGAGGCGGTACTCAGCACGGCGGTGGGGGAGGGCGGCAGGGGCGGCGGAACCTCGGGGGCGACGTCGATGGGAAATGGGGGGGGGCTGACTGGTGCGGGCGGTGGGTCGGGCGGCGAGCCCAAGCAGGTGTCGGTGGGCGTTGGGGGTTCGGGCGAGGGGTCGGCGACCAGTCGATCGGCGGCCGGGGTGCAGACGACTCCGAGGGTGGACGCGAAGGGCTCAGCGGAGATGAACCGCATAAAGTGAGTCAGTCCCTTGTTGCCACAGGCATAGGCGACGCCTGGTGTTGGGAGTGTGGTAGACAGCACTCCCTTGCAACGAGCAGGCATGATCCCTGTTGGGCGTGTATGGTAGAATAGAAGAACAATGTTGGCCACCGGCGGTGTGTTTGTGGATCGTCGCAGAGCCAACCTGCAGAAGATGGATTGTATGATATGTGTGCACCCAGCCGCCGGAGTGACAAGAAAATGCCGAAAATTTTCTCGCTGCGGCAAGATGTTGCGCTGCTGACGCATTAGAACAACGTGGTTTTGTGTTTGTTCAATTTTCTTTGTACGCTTGGAGGATCCTTGGTGTTTTCGAGTCCGTGACTCAGCCCACCACTTGTTCTTGCGGGTTGCATGGTACGTTATGGCAGAAGCAACCTGGAGCCACTGCCCGTTCTCAGCAATTTGTTGACAATGCATGTGACAGCACTACACCTCCAGGCTGGCGGTCGACTCAGAGCCTGCCTCCAATGGTATGCTGGTCGAAGTTGCCCAACAAGGAGCTGGCGACCTCGTCTTGTTCCAATGCCCGCTGCAATTTTGTTACATTGTTCGTGTTCGCCTTTCGCTTTGCTCTCATGGCCCAAATGTTTTGATGATGATATTGGATCATTGCACCATTGACAATGTATTGGATCATTGCACCAATGTCATGCGATTTCCACCGCTTCTTCGCTCAGGGCGGAGCTGTCTGCGAAGAACCAACAGTTGCAACAGATGCAACTCAAGGTCGAAGAATACAAGGATAACCTACATCAGGTGCGTGTGTGTAGTCATGACCCGTCACTGCCCCTCTTTTTTACAAGTTTACAAGTTCTGTTTTTTTTTGTCTGGTCTTGGATGGGACGGTCTCTGTGTGTGCCGTTACTTGCCCCTTTCGCCCCTTTCGCGTGGTATATATTTTACAGTTTTGTTGCGTAATCAATGAAGGAAATGGCAGGGCGCGCCTCCCGGCGCCGGTGGTTTTAGTGGCTAGCTTTGTCGGTGCTGATCGTAGTACCCCTTTGTTTCATGCGTCGTTTCGCGAACTCACAATATTTGTTTGAGTGCGCCGGCTTTCCCTGGCGTGTCGTCGGATCTACATATGTGTCATGTCTTCTTGAGTGATTACTCAGTAGACATGTGTGGGATTTTTTTCACGATGACGAAGAGAGAGTGTTAGTATTGTACCGTCCTGGGCATGTCGGGATATCGGGATGCCTGTAAGCACACCGTCGAGTCGAGTAGTACAGTACTGCCATCTTGGTGCAGAATAACAACTGAAACAACGACAGAGATTGTCATTCCCGACCCTGCTGTGGTACTGTAGACCTTCAGCACCAGTTATGAGGTATGAATAGCTGTCGTTGTCATCGTGAGAGAGAGAGGGAGACATGGAGAGGGAGACATGACGGCTTGGTTCGTCAGTTTCAGTCTGATTATGATGTGCGTGCGCGCTTCGACGTGGCTGAGCAGGCGCAAACAACCAGCACTCGAGAGCTGGACGATGCCGATGTGCAAGTGGAACAGCTCAACCAAAGGATCGCGGCATCGTGAGTGGTTGTTGTTGATGTTGTTGTTGTTGTTGTTGTGGTGCTTGTTGTTGTTGGTATCTGTGCGTCGAGTCCCAATCTGGGCTCTAGGCACGGCCAAACAAGGTAAGGTGAATGGATATGTTTGCCATGCGAGTACGTCGAAGTGTTGAGCATGAATCGTGCGTCTGTTTAAATCGCCTCTGTTCCAAACCGCATTTATCATGGTATGCATGTCATGGTTACACAGCAGCAATGTAGCGGCGTATCTGATGACGAACGCTTTCTTTTTTTTTTTGCATATTCTGAACCAAGCTTGCTGGCTTTCCTACTGTATAGCGACCATGGCCTCAAATGTTGGGCCTCGATGTGTTGTTGTTTCCTTCAAGAGCAGCAACAAGTATGTCAATAGTCCAGTGCGTGCGTGATGGTCGGGTGCTGTGGACGAACCAAAGATAGGCAACATGTTCGCAAATTGTGCTGTTGTTTTCCAGTACCATACAAGCAACCGCCTCACCCCCACCGGAACGCATTTTTCTTGTTCCGTTACCACCTGCTTGCGCTTGTTTCTGCTGTGCTGTTTGCTATGCTGCTTGCCTTGGTGGCTGTCGACCACTCAATTTCATCAACATCAGAGAGGCTGAGCTCGAACGGAAGAAGCAGGAAGTCGGCGAGGCCCGAAAGGAAGTCGAGGTAAGTATTGTATGCTTCAAGTATTCTATTTTCTCGTATTTGTTACTTCGTGGTAGAATTTGTCTCGGGAAGCACGATCCCACACAAGCTAACTTGAAACGTTTGAAGGTTGAAGCGTTTGTAGGATGCACGTGGGGTCAAGTGGAGCTTGCTTAGATTCCTTCCTTCTTTGGCTTATGGCACGACCTTTCGCCCGTTGGGAGTGTGGTCTCTCATCTTACCATCCGTGTGCTCTATTTTGGATGTTGGTTTCATCGTTTTGTCGTGCGCGCACATCTTCTCTCTTGTAGATTGAACATAATTTTTTATTGTTGGATGCTTGCTATATTTTTTTTCAATGCGTGTTTTGTTATGTTGGTAAATGTTGCGGGGAAGGTACATGGAAGGAGCACTCCTGTTGTTTGGCACTCACCGTATACGTCAGGGTTTTCCGTTTTCCAGGTACCTGTAGAGAGCACCAATCTAACGTAGAGAACCAATCATCATGTCGTATCACTACCAGCCCCAGCAGCTGCACCTGCATGAATAACTCACCGTTGTCTTGGACGATATTGGGCATGTCGGTTCCGCTCCATATTTCTGTGCAGTAACACAGCTGCTGTGCAACCGCGGTGTTGTTACTTGCAAAGTAACGAAATCGAGTCGCGCGGTGCTGCTCCGATCTCGAAAAAGTAGACTAGCTCTGGAACCACGTGTGTTTGATTTTATCCGAACCCACTCAATACCGACGTACCGTACAGTATCAGGTTCGCTTGGAGATGAAAATGAGAACACAGTGGGGGGGGCTCAGTGGTGCCGGTATGGAGCAGACCAGCACACCGGTGCTATTCGCAAAACCGGCACTATTGAGGGTCGTGCACTATATGGGGCCACCACGACCCTGAGTAGTGCCGGTTTGACACTACTGAGATATGTACATGAGATTATATTTTGGGCCCATAGGTCATGCGAGTACTTGCAATTTTGAGTGTCATGTGCAGCAGCGAACAGCAGGTAGTACCGCGAAGTGTACTGGTGTGAAGTAAACCGGAGGGGCCTCAGCAAGAATAATGTTTCGCGGCACGCACATATTTCGTTGCATGTGCCGATGTCTCCTGCAATCAACGGCTTGGCACTCAACATTGTGGCACGGTGCATCTTTAGTTAATATTTACAAGTACGCTCTACATTTCCCTCACTCACTGCCAAACAAGAGTTCGACATCCATGCAGCCTACCCAGAAGTATATCCGGAACGCACTGGAGATTGACAAGCCCTCTGAAGGCACAGAGTTGATCCTGAGCACATGAAGTTTTTTCCTAGACAAGCTAACACGTCTTGACCCTGAAAAAAATTATAAGTCCTACAACCTTCAATCTGTAGTCAGTCACGCGGGGAGAGGGTAGGGAAAATAGACACCAACAAACAAGCACAAGAGAGTTACAGTTCATCACCCGCAGCACACGGCACCTTGTGCCTCTGCGTCGCAAGCTGCAGGGGTACAGCAGTACACGTGTGTACCTCTCTCGCTACGGATGTGCGTGTGTGTGTGGAGCAAAAAATACCGACGCGGCACTATTGAGGTTTCGGCGGAGCTAAATCGGCGCTATTGACGGCGTCTCACAGTGGTGCCGGTACCGGCACCACTGCCGGCACTACTGAGGGCCCCCCACTGTAGTAAAAAAGTCGTCGACAATCACCGGTATTAAAATATAGGGGGCCACACGTGATGTTGCGGCAGTAGTAATAATGCCTCTCAGTAAATAGCACAGGTGCGTTCAGCTTGTCTAGCGCCGGTGCGTGTAACCTCTCTGCTCATTTGATCATATCATACGTCCAAGCCTTTGGGATACATTTGGACCTCATCCTCACTGGCGCTCTTTCCCTGCGATGCCCCTGCCATTGGTCGTTGTTGTTGTTGCTGTTGTTGCTGCTGCGGCGGCGGCCTCCGCTAACTTTTCAGAACACGGAACGCACATCCGAGGAGCGCATTGCACAGCTCGAGCACGACTTGCGGATGGCACGCAGCCAGCCGAAAGGATGCCATTGTACCATCTCTTAGTTCTGTGCTTTTTTTTGTTTAGGTTTTTCGGCCGATCCAATTGTACGAGGGAGGTGAGGGAAAGAGGGGGGCATTCGACGGGATGGGGGGGGGGGGGGGGGGGGGCCCCAAGGGGGGTTCCCCCCTTTTTGGGGGGTTTGGGAAAATTCCCCAGGAAGGAAAAAGGGGGGAAAAAAACCCCCTTTTTCCCCCCCGGCCCCTTGTGGTTTTCCGAAAAGGGGTTTTTCCCGGGGGAACTTTTTTCCCAAAAAAAAAGGGGGGGCCAAAAAAAAAAAAATTTTTTTTTT